ATGCTCTATAATCGAACAAAAAATTGTATAGAAAATACAAAATTGGTATTGTTTTTATAAAAGTATCAAAGCCTCGTCACTCGCACTGTATAGTGAATTTTTTTTTTTAATTGACCTGACAATTTGTCGTTATTTATGCCCTTTAAGAGGACGCTACCCACCCGTAATTTATCCGCAAAAAATGGCTTTGCGGGGGACAAGAATGTGAAGGCGGTATTTACAGTAGCCGTATACAATTTTTACAATGGATAGAGAAGAACTTTACGGGGTAGCGATTTTAGTTTTTTGATAACTTAATCACAATTAAAATTATTTCTTCGTGAAGATTCAATTTTTTTTTCAATTTTCATTTGCTTTAAAAAAATATTAAGTATAGATATCAAACAAATAAAATCGCTACCCCGTAGATAAAGTTCTTCTCTATACATTGTGAAAATTTGGTAAATCTACTGTTAATACTGCCCTCACATTCTTGTTCCGCGCAAAGCAGTTTTGATGGGGAAAAAATTGTAATTTATCCTATAGAAACGACTGTGATAGTCTGACGAAAAAAATGGCAATCAATAAAGTATCCTCATTACTGTATTAATAAGTATATAATATAGTTCAAACTCTAATTTAAGATTTTTCGAAAAATTGCCTATTTTTTACTCCTTAGAAATGGCCTGGGTAGCGTCCTCTTAATTATTTTTTCCCGTCACAAGCTTGAATTTCATTACCGACTCTGCCCTAATGTCTGCATGGAAAACGAATTTTTTTACTGCTCATTGAATATTAGCAAAATGCTAAATTCATCGTATAATTAAACTTGACTAAGTAGCTTAAAAACATACACTGGAAAGTTCCATAAAGCTGCATGGTTCAACTAATTAAACATTTTTTAAACCCCTATACAAGATAGAAGCGACTGCAATCAACCGTAAATGTGTATGCCTCAATTGTAATACCCATTAAAGGTTTATATACTTTTAAGCTTTAATGGTGTTAACGTCGTAGACCTTGAACATCTGAATTAACTTATGCATTAATGCAACTTTTTATACAATTTCTACAGATAAACAGCCAGCAGAGCAATTATTAAACGACCCACAAATCTAAAAATGCATTAAAAGAGGTACAAATAATAGGATTTCGGATTCGGGGTTAAGAGGGCGTTTTACAACCTAATTATTAAAGAGTTTGATGTAGGTAATTTTTTTGTCCAGACTAAATTGATTTGTACAATCAGCTATTTTATCAGACCATCAACAGCATCCGTTAATCGTTATTTACATTATTTTTTTACCAAAATATATCCACGCATATTGCGTTTTATATATATTATATATATTATATTACTGGGACCGTGGTGGTTTTAGACCAAAAACGTTTTTTTCAAGGTCAGAATTACATTCTGGAAGGATTATTTTTCTAAAAATCAGATGTGATATTCTCTCTTTAATATCACTTATTTTCGATTTCATATTTGATATTTTCTCACATCACCGACTATCGACCGATTAAACGCATTCTGCGTAGTTAAGCTTTTACGCCATAAAATTGAATGTATAATATTATCTACTGTAATCTTGTAAAAATATTCAATATTAAACCATTTATATGTTGAACATAATTAAGACAAATTTGCAAATATCAATTAAAAATCGTTATTATTAATTATAAGTTGATTATCTATTAAGACTTTAATTATAGTTATATATTTATAATAAAATTCATAAAATTAAAGTATATATTTATTTATTATGTATAAAGGTAAATAGTTAATACTATGTTGTGCAAATTCAATAAATATAATTAAGCGCACGTACATTAGATTTATAGATTTATACTTTTATCTTATACTTTTTTTAACTTTATTTTTAGATACTTAAAAGTGTCATTAATGGGTGGCTCCTTTTATCAAGTATTTCATGTTATATTTTTATTTTAGCTAATACTCTTATTGTACCCATTGGGAACGGATTGTGTATATATTAATAAAGAAAAAAAAAAAAATTTTTAGATACATTAAAAAAACGACAGTTTATTAGTGGAGATTAGGGGGGGGAGGCTTTAGGATTCTAAAAACTTTTAAGCTTAAAATTAGTGCTACATTTATTTATTTTTCGACAAATTTCTCACTAAAAAATAAATGTAGGTATTTTGAAAAGCACTATTTTTAAATTTTAAGGTTTTTAGTATCCCAGCTCCCACCCTTATCTTAATCTCCACCAATATGACAGTTTGTAGTTTTCCAAAAAAAAACCATAGCTCGATTAAGACGCATCCAGCTTTCTGAACACGTTAATTAAATTAATATAACGTACCTATTATAATATATTGATATTATTATATTGTATATTATTATTATTATTATTCGTAAATTGTACACTGTGCACGTATTCAATAAAATATCGTTACAAAAACAGTTTTAATTTAATCATATTTGACTAAAAAGATATATGGGGAGAATTTCTACAATAACTAATTACCATCTCTGAGGTAAGGGCGTCCGCAGGAGGGGGGCAAGTAGGGGCAGTTTCCCCCTTGGCTTTTTTCTAGGACAATTATCATAATCATTATGTAATGAAAATATTACAAAATAAACATTTTTTAATTTAAAAATTTACATTTTTTTTACTGAGGCTCAAGTGAATAATTAAACGTCTCGACTATAAAAAAATTAAAATTCATAAAATAGTTTGTTCTATCACCGTATTAGTCTGAGTGTGTATTGTCAACACGGTTATAAACACATATTACATACCATAATAATTTTTACCATACCTACAACCGTATTTTTAAAGTGATTTCAGTATCAGTATTGAGTATCATTAACACCAATAAGTAATAAAAGTAATAAGTTAATTTCAAAACGGAATGGTTGTTATTTTTTTTTATTAAACCTAGAAACATTAAATAATGTAAGGTTTATTTTTTTTTGTGCCTCGATATCTATTTGTGCAGCAACTTTATACATAAGAATTCACCTTCAAAATCGAGAAAAACACCCAACAAATATATATATATATGTATTTATTCTTTTTTGAACCAGTAAAAAAAATATTTTAGGGTAGTATTAAGGGTTAGTTTATTGATATTTTCATAGTTTTATGGCCTAAGCTAGCTCAATTATTTACTTTAAGTAATAAAAAAAAATAATAATAATCATATCTTATACAATAACATCTGTTTAAATGTAATATTTATACTTAAAAAAACTAAAACTAAAAAACCAAACAGTTTTTAAAAAACTGATGCTCGTAGCCGCTAAAAATCTGAAAAAATTAGAATAATTTTTTTTTTACTCCAGAGGACAAGAGGAACAGAAAAATATAAGAAGAACAATTTTTTGGTCTACTTTAATGGCTATACCACTTATCAACAACAATAAACATATTTGTCAGACACCACCTGCTGGCTGTTGATACATTCACACATAGCAACCTGAAAATAAAAAATGGTTGGAGAGTGATTTTTCCTTTTAGATGGTTTTTTGGTGTTTAGCTCGCGATCTATTGAAAAAATATGACGACAGAAATGTTCTTAGTTTATGTAGTTGTTTGAATTCTAAAAACTGTTATAAAAAATTGTGCTCTCTGGCTTAAAAATTGTAAACGTTTTAACGTTTTTGTATTTGATCCCGTGATTTTTTCTGTTATACGTAGACCTTACTTTATCAATGCGCAGGCTGAGAATGAAAAATTCCCTTTTGGTTAAAATCCTGTAATTGCGTTTGAAAAAGTTTTACCAAATGTCAAAAAAATCAGAGTATCTAATTTTTACGAACCTAGAACACTTTCATTTTGTATATTTTTATAGTGAATGTAGGTAGACACACTGTTGATGGATCAAAAGACGAGCAAATAAAAATCATTAATATTTAGAAAAAAAAAAAAATGTTTGGTAAATATTGAACATAGAACATTTTTATTCTCAGCTCGCTAATGGTTGCTATCGTCACATAAGACATTATTTCAAATCTAATCCATGTTTTATTAGGAAATTAATTAATATATAAGTACGAGTAATTAAAAAGAACAAATAGCAAAGTGACAGTAAGTATATCCGATATATTTTAGTATTATTAGTCGTTCATAAAGATAAAATAGTGTATAATATTAAGCACAACAAAAATATTTTTTATTATACAATAAATATCTTTTATCTTTTGGCTATTGATAATAACATAAGATACTGAAAATAATTTTTATTTAAAAATTTTAGCATTAAAGATTTACAAATGTATTTAATAGTAAATATAATATGTAATAGCATTATGCAATGATCACTACACATAATTATTTTAAAAATACTACAACTTTGTGTTCATCATTTATTGTGTACATACATTTAAATTTAAGTATATTATGTAATAATTTTGTGCAATAACACTAAATATATATTATTTCTAAGACTCTAAAATATTTTGGTCTACATTTCCTGTGGATTGTAAGTTGTTATATTCTACAACCTAGTAGTTCTAAACTATTAATCAATTTCATTAAATGTACTACCTTTTTAATATAAGTCAAAATGTATATTTTTTTCACTTTGTTTCAATTTCAGTAACTTTGGCCATTAGCTGTATTAAAATATTAAATTTATTGTAATTAATTAAATATATATATATATTATTTTTTCAATCAAAACTTTTTATAATTTTTTTTTTAAATTGTACAATAGGAATATTCTACAACATTGTAGTGCTAAACTATTAATCAATTTAACTAAATGTACTACCTTTTTAATATAAGTCAAAATATATATATTTTTTACTTTGTTTTAACTTCAGTAACTTTGACCATTAGCTGTATTAAAATATTAAATTTATTGTAACTAATTAAAAATATATATACTAGTTTTTTTATGAAAACTTTATATAATTTTTTTTTTTAATTGTAAAATAGGAATATTCTACAACATAGTAGTGCTAAACTATTAATAAATTTAATTTAATGTATTAACTTTATAGTATTGTTTAAAAATGTGTGTAATATACTCTAAATATTATTTTATTAATCACAAAACAAATGTATTCAAGCCCAAATATCTCTCCATCAATAGTTTAACACGTAAAATATCATGATGATGTTTTAAATCGAATTTTTTTATCAGACTATTCTCTAATCCGTTACCTATGCAAAATATCTCAAGCAAAATCCTTTAATTCAACCCATTCATATCAATCAAATTTCCTAACGGATCTCTTATCTCTTAACCCCTATCTCCTATATCCTACCCCTTATCTTAATCTCTAATCTCTTATCTCTAGTATTTTATATCAGATAACAGCGTAACTGTTTTTGGTAACAAGTTTTTGGTAACGCTTGTTTTGTGACAGTTTTTGGTAACAGTTTTTTCGGTTTTGAGCAAGAGCTAAGACATGAAAATGTCAACAAAAAAAAAACACTAACACTACAAAACTAAAGATTAGGGTGTGAAAGGACATGCAAGCATTACTGTGAGAAATTATTAAGATAAAATCTACGTTCAATAGTTTTAGAGACTACAAATTAGATAGTGGGGAACTTGATAAAACTCTTCCTCTTCTTTGCTGCATTTTTCAATAACCTGCTTTAAATAGACCATCGTCTAGCAAATAGTATTTTTACCGGTTTCACCGGTTTGGCAGTCGCAATGTGGTCGGTTTGAGAGTTTGATCCAATTGGGGCTTGCCTAGGAGATTTAGAACCGTACCTTTCTCTTCGTATTCGATCCATTGCTCTCACTGAAATCAGACGCAATAAATAAGGATTTGTATGTTAACGTATGTCTTTTTCATACATATTTTCGGGGAGGAAATTAACTTGAAAAAAAACTACCGTTGCCAATTTTCTTTCTCAGCTATACTAGTCCCCACCACGTAGTTCAGTATATACTGTATATTTTATAGTAAATACGATTTGCCTTCAGTTTCAAAAGTTAACTCCAAAAGTATTTAGTTAAAACGTGTTATCGAACAGACAACAGATACAGTTAACACTACTTTTTAAAATAGCTATCTAAATAGCCATTATATTATACTTAACAAGTAAATTTAGTTATAAAAAATGTATTTTTAGCTTAGATGCGTAGCTGAGAAAGTATTGTTTTTACAATAATGGGTTTTTATAATTTTTTTTCCCTCATGTCTGGACCCACATACCTTATAAAAAGCTGAACCAATTTATTCACGAAGCACCTCTAAGAAATCAAGAATCATACCTGAAAGGTACTTATTGGGCCAAACATTTAAAACGTTCACCAATTCTTCCTTAAAACCGATAAAAACACCCAAGAATTTTACACATTTTTTAAATAACGGCTTTCTATAACTTTTTGTTAATTAATCGAATGAGTTCCATGTTTGTATAGAAATATTCTTCCGATAAAGTACTATTTGATTTGTTTTGCGGTCTGTACAAAACTGCGATTTCTGTCGTCAGTGATGGATTTACAAGGGGGGGGGGTAAATATATAATGTTAAATATTAATATAAATGACATCAATATAATCATCATTAATAAAAATACAGTCAACGGTTTTTTAATAGAAATAATGCCTTTGATACACATATTATTTTTCAACATCCCCCTCGCAAAAAAAAAAAAAAATGTTACAAGTCTGCCACTGTCCGTCGTGATCCAACGATTTCATTATAACGTTAAACGTGCCGGGGTTTGGTTATAGAATTCAAACGCTTTACTTAAGATAACGCACAGTAAAGCATGAGAACACCAAATCAAACGCTCGGCCGAATCCGTGACTTTGTCTTGACTGGAGCCTAGGTATATGCTGTGTGTGTGTGTGTGAAAAAAAAACTACATATTAATAAGTTTTAAAATGTATTTTTTGTTTTTTTTTTCATTATAGTTTTTATTGGGTTATATGATGGCTCAGCAATTACATAGATTTTAAAATATAATTAAGTTAATTGCGGGTGACAACAATTTTTTTTATTTTTTCTTATTATACTTTTTATTTATTTAAAATTAATTATTTCTAAAACGAAGGTACACTGTAATGTAAGTAATATATGAAAATTATCTAAATACACACCAAAATATAATATTTAAAATACATTTAAAACATACTGAAAACATGTAATATAGGGCGCAAAGCAATCCACTTTCAGTTATAACAATTGTTGTACACCTGTTACCTTTCCTGTCCCCACTATACACTCTCCCAACTATGTCTCACTCTACTACGCTGGATTTCAAAGTATAAGGGATTTTTTAAGTATTGTTATTTGAATTTCTACCTAAATATTGTTTTAAAACATTTTTACAATATTATTATAAAATTTAAACCGAAAAAATAAATTGTTTTTGGATTTCGGATGTGTTTAGGGGAACGGAAAGCGTCAATTTTTTTACAAATAAAGATTAAAACTCGGAGTCATTTTCTGAAGTGTCTACCCAACCGATTTCAATAATTATTGTTTTGTTTTATTGCTTAACATCTTCTCTATGGGGGCTAAGACCGATTTTTTATTTTTATTTTTTTCAAAAAATACTTATAAGCATTTTTATTTTTATTTTTTATAGTTTTTTATAACACATCTAACTACTTTTTTAATTGCTAAATCAAAAATCGGCCTCTTAGTCCCTATAGGAAAAATGGTAAGCTTCGCATAAAAAAAAAAACTTGAAATCTGTCCAATAGATACGCCAGAAAATGACTTCTATGAAAGTCATTTTTTATCGAACCTTCGTCGTAACTCGGAGAAAAATAACTTCAAAAGTATTATAATTAGAAAATTGTAAAATGTGTTCGCCTTGAAATTAATAGCCATATTATGATAAATGGCTATTAGAACAATTTTTGTCAAATATTGCCTATCCTTTGCCCCTTAAAATAGCGCTTTCCGTTCCTATGAATTAGTCGAATTAGTTCCATATTTGTATTAAATATTCTTCCGATGAAGTACTATTGATGTGCGTTAACAAACCGGAAAATATCGCAAAGCCTATTCCCTAGAAAGGATAGAACTTTTTTCCTTATTTTTTCTTTTCGGGCATACTGGGTAACCTAGCCGGATCTAACCGTTTTAGGGCTTAAGGTCTAAAAATTAGACTGAAAGAAGATCTGGTATGGGTCTAAAAAATATTTGATTTTCTTAAAAATCATTAGTCAAATTTGTTCTTATTTAAGAAGAACTTAACAAAAAAGGATTTGATATTTTGTTTTACGGTCTGTACAAAACTGTGATTTCTGCTGCCAGTGGCGGATTTACAAGGGGGGGGGGGTAAATATATAATGTTATATATTAATATAAATGACATCAATATAATCATCATTAATAAAAAAACAGTCAACAGTTTTTTAGTAGAAATAATGCCTTTGACATACATATTATTTTTCAGAACACCCCTCTTCACCTAAAAAAAAAATGTTACAAGTCTGCCACTGTCCGTCGTGATCCAACGATTTCATTATAACGTTAAACGTGCCGGGGTTTGGTTATAGAATTCAAACACTATACTGAAGATAACGCACAGTAAAGCGTGAGAAGCCCAAATCAAACGTTCGGTTGAATCCGTGACTCTGTCTATATGCTGTGTGTGTGTGTGTGAAAAAAAAACTACTTAGTAATAGGTTTTAAAATATATTTTTTTTTTTTCTTATTATACTTTTTATTTATTTAAAATTAATTATTTTTAAAACGAAGGTACACTGTAATGTAAATAATATTTGAAAATCATCTGAATACGCGCCAAAATATAATATTTAAAATACATCAAAAACATTTTGAAAACATGTAATATAGGGCATAAAGCAATTCACTTTTTCAGCTATAACAATTTCTGTACACCTGTGACCTTTCCTGTCCCCACTATACACTCTCCCGATTATGTCTCACTCTACTACACTGGATTTAAAAATACGAGGGATTTTTTAAGTATTGTTACTTGATTTCCTACCTAAATATTGTTCTAAAATATTTTTACAATATTATTATAAAATTTAAACCGAAAAGATAAATTGTTATTGGATTTTGGATGTGTTTAGTGGAACGGAGAGCGTCAATTTTTTACAAATAAAGATTAAAACGCGGAGTCATTTTCCGAAGTGTCTACCCAACTAATTTCGACTCCCCCCCCCCAAAAAAAAAAAAGTTAAAAGTCTGCCACTGTCCGTCGTGATCCAACGATTTCATTATAACGATAAACGTGCCGGGGTTTGGTTATAGAATTCAAACGCTTTACTTAGGATAACGCACAGTAAAGCATGAGAACACCAAATCAAACGCTCGGCCAAATTCATGACTCTGTCTTGACTGGAGCCTAGGTATATGCTGTGTGTGTGTGTGAAAAAAAAACTACATAGTAATAAGTTTTAAAATGTATTTTTTGTTTTTTTTTTTTATTATAGTTTTTATTGGATTATATGATGGCTCAGCAATTACATAGATTTTAAAATATAATTAAGTTAATTGTCGGGTGACAACAATTTTTTTTATTTTTTCTTATTATACTTTTTATTTATTTAAAATTAATTATTTCTAAAACGAAGGTACACTGTAATGTAAGTAATATATGAAAATTATCTAAATACACGCCAAAATATAATATTTAAAATACATTTAAAACATACTGAAAACATGTAATATAGGGCGCAAAGCAATTGCTTAAAAATTAGGAGAGGGGAGGGAAATTAAAGGGGAAGAGTGGGGAAGAGAGAGGAAAAAAATTACCATGTACATGAATATAATATTGATTAAAGTAACTAGGTACGGTTTATTTGTTATATTAATATTCCCTCATATATTAATAAAATTCCCTCAGATATAAAGTCATATTCATGATCCAATGTTTTCTTTTAAGAAAAAACTAACGGGTTTTTTTTAATGATTATAACTTATAAGGCAATTTTGAAATAATCAATGTTGAAAATAATTCAAGTTTTAGTACTAAAAATGTTTTAATAAATAAATGTTTTGTAATTATTTAAATTGTTTTATATTATTAAGTAAATATTTTAACGTGCACTTCAAGTATTACTTTAAAAGTTATTACTTTCTCTCTATTTCATCATTTCGAGTTCCTCATTTTCCCGTCTTATACTTTTTTGCCAATGATATTGATTTTTAATGTAAATTTAGCTGTCTTAATATTATTGATTTTGTGTATTATATGCCATATTTTTTCTATAGTCTATACTGTAACATTATTCTTGTTTTTAGGCTAAAGTCTGTTTATTTATAATAAATAAAATGATGTCACATTGTCACCACTAGGAGAAGGAATATTTTACCCATTTTTACAAAGTTATGGAAATTAAGTTATTAAATATTATTTGAAGTTTATTCCCAACCCTAGCATATACAAAGTTCATGTCTGATAACTTTCCTTTTGTACTTAACACGACTACATTGTATAGTCAATAGTGTATTATGTTTATTTTATTTGTCTAAATTAACTAATCGAAAATATCGATTTTAAAGCTTTGTTACCTTAATTATAATATTGAATGGTTCGAGTGAAATATAACGGAATACAATGTCAATGACAAAGGGTATTATATAACCCTACAGTTTGGTGTTTACGTAGACATAATCAAATATTAGGTGAGTTGAATTTAAAAACACATAATATCCGTAAAAATCTACTCCCCACGTTGAATGGAGATTTCAAAGATAAGTTTCACATCTAAAATTTCGACCTACTATTACAGATTTGTATTGAAGGTTTTTTTGTTTATTGCGATTTCATTACGTTCACTTATAATAGGTAATAATTCAAA